AGCCCTACCAACAGCAACAGCAAACCACAAAACAGAAACACACCAGCAGCAGCAGCAGCAGCAGCAGCAGATGGTGATTGAGCAGCAGCAGCATGAGCAGCAGGAACAGATGAAAGGGATGCTAGGAGAAACGCAGCAGCAAAAGCAACCGCAGCAGCAGCAGCAGCAACAGCAGCAGCAGCAAACGCTGGATCCCTCTCCATACCCGTTTCCTGCAGCAGCTGACTCCCCTTCAACCACCACTGCTGCTGCTGCTGCTGCTGCTCCTGCTGCTGCTCCTGCTGCTGCTACTCTTGATGCTGCAGCAACAGAGCAAAGTGCATCCACAAAGATAACAGCAGCAGCAGATATGCCGCCGTCCTATGGAGGGGCTGCTGAGGAAGCAAACGAGCCAGCAGCAGCAGCAGCAGCAGCAGCAGAAGCAGAAGCAGAAGCAGCAGCAGCAGCAGCAGCACATTCTTCCCCAGCAGCAGATTCAGATGATCTAGCTGAAGCTGTCCCTGCGCTTATCGAGCAGCAGCAGCAGCAACAGCAACGACTGCAGCAGCAGCAGCAGCAGCAGCAGCGTATGCAGAGGTCTGGGAGGCAGCAGTTTCTGCTGCTGCCTGAAGACTGGAATCACTACCATCAGCAGCAGCTGCAGCAGCAGCAGCAGCAGCAGTTGCTGCTGATGCTGCAGCACGACGACATTCGTGCTGCTGCAGCACATGAGGCTGTTGGTTCTTCTTTTGTTGCATCAGCAGCGCCATCAACAGCAGCAGCAACAGCAGCAACAGCAGCAGCAGCAGCAGCAGCAATAGAACATACATCTCCTCTATATAAACCCTTGCTGCTGTCTTCTCTCAGCCTCGAGCTGCCGCTGCTGCTGCTGCACTCTGCTGCATTTCTGCTGCTGTGGACCATCGCCAATAAAGTAGGAAAAATATTCGGCCTCAGAATGCCAAAACTACCTTTCTAGCCAGCAGCAGCAGCAGCAGCAGCAGCAGCAGCAACAGCAGCAGCAGCAGCAGCAACAGCAGCAGCTGCAGCAACAACACCAGCAACAGAAGCAGCAGCAACAGCGACAGCAGCATCGGCAATAGCAGCAAAAGTAAGAACGCTGGCAACGGCAACAGCAGCACTAACAGCAGCAAAAATAGCAAAAGCAGCAGCAGCAGCTGCTGCTGCTGTCGCTGCTGCTGCTGCCGCTGCTGCTGCTGCTGCCGCTGCTGCTGCTGCTGCCGCTGCTGCGAGCATTTGCAGATATTTTAGTGGTATTTCCACACGATTCTGTTTTAACGCGGTTTGAATTCTCTATGCAGCAGCAGCAGCAGCAGCTGCTGCTGCTGCTGCTGCTGCTGCGGTTATTGCTGCAGCTGCTGGTGCTGCTGCTACTGGGGAAGCTAAGCCCTAAGAGGACCGCAGCAGCAGCAGCAGCAGCGAAATATGCTGCAGGAACTGCAGCAACAGATGCAGCAGCAACGACTGCAGCAGCAACAACTGCAGCAGCAACGACTGCAGCAGCAACGACTGCAGCAGCAACGACTGCAGCAGCAACGACTGCAGCAACAAATGCAGCAGCAACAAATGCAGCAGCAAGAACTGCAGCAGCATTTGCTGCAGCAACAGCGAAGTTTGCTGTTGGCGATATTTGGTGATTTTATAAAAATTAATTTTAGCTTTAAGCCGCCGGGTGTACAGACACTGGAAATTTGTTTCGATGCGGCAACTGCGCCTGCAGCAGCA